AACCCTGATGCACACCTTCCTGATTTTAAACCTTGCAGTGTTCCCTTGCTCCATTCTAACAACAACTTCTTGATTCAGGTATAGGTTTCACAAGAGCACAATTAAGTGTTCTGAGATTCCCATTCTTCTCAATGTTAGGTAATTTGTTATGATTGACACAGTTAAATGCCTTTGCATAGCCAATAAAACACAAGATTGACACATTAAATGCCTTTGCATAGCCAATAAAACACAAGTAGACATTCTTCTGGTATTCTCTGCTTTCAGCTAGGATCCATCTGACATCAGCAATGATGTCCCTGGTGTCATGGCCTCTTCTAAATCAGCTTGAACTTCTGGCTGTTCCCTGTTATTCCCATTTTTTTATGATTTCCAGCAATATTTTGCTTGCTTGTGATATTAATGATATTGTTTGATAATTTACACATTCTATGGGATCATCTTTCTTGGGAATAGGGACAGATATGGATCTCGTCCAGTTGCACAGCCAGGCATCTGTCCTTCAAATTTCCTGACTTAAACCAGTGAGCACATTTAGGGCTGCATCTGTCACTTGAAACATGTCAACTTGTATTCCATCAATTCCTGAGGCTTTCATTTTTATCAGTGATATCTTCCCACAGTGCCTCTGCCTTTCAATCATTGGTCTCCAGTGCCTCACACCTGTTTTTGAAATGATTCTTTTTTTTTTTTCTTTTGCAGCTGTTGCAAAAAGCTTTATTGTTTCATTTGGTCCAAGGCTTGGGCGAAGGGCTTCTGGGTGGATAAGATTCTACATCAGGGTGGGATAGAGAAGCTTGCTGCTGTTGGCAGGGGGACACAGAGGTTTCCCCCTGCAAGTCCCCGCAGACCCCTAGTTGTGCTTGAGGGTGAGATGCTCAAAGAGATACTCGCCCAGCCCAGCCTGGGGGCCGCCCAGTCTCCTAATGTTGGTCAGATGGTCACCCATCTTCTTCAGCAGTTTCACTTCCTCTTCCAGGAAGTGGTTCTCCAGAAAGTCACAGAGATGGGGGTTAGTGTGGGCAGAACCCACGGCGTGCAGATCCAGAAGGGCCTGGTTTAGGTTCTTCTCCAAGGCCAGCGCTGCTTGCATAGCGTCCAGGGTTTTACCCCACTCATCCTGGGATGGCTTCTGGATATCTTGGAAGAGGACTCGCCCGCCGCGCTGGTTTTGCAGCTTCAAGAGCCGCTCGGCACCCTCGCGCTTCTCACTCGCCAACTCGCGGAAGAAGTGTCCCACGCCTTCCAAGGCCACATCATCGCGGTCAAAATAAAAACCCAGAGAGAGGTAGGTGTAAGAGGCCCAGACGGTTGACGCCAGCTTCTGCTTCGGCTGAATAATTTTGACGGATCTGAGAGCTCATAGTTGGTCGAGGTTTTGGGGTTAACAAAAAAAACGTGTTAGCTGGTCCCGAAAATAGGAGATGGTTGAGATGATCCCGAGGTTACGCCTGGAGGTGAAGTTGGAGGGTAGTCGGAGGTTGGAAGGGGGGAAGTCGCCTGGTCTGTTCCGTCCAAACACTGTTGAAGCAAGAGACAGATCCACGGGACCGCTGGGGAACTTGAAAGGATTCTTAATGGGCAATGCCATACAGTAGGTGCTTATAAAAATGCAGGCTGAGAGAGCACACTTGGCATATCTTTCATGCACACAGTCACTCTTCTCAAAATACCACTTTCGTGTCCTAACAGAAGCATGCTGACTCTGGAGCACCCTGGGGACATGTAGCCATCTGCGGGCAGGACTGGGCTGAGGGGCTGACCTGGGGCTGGGTTTAGGGGTGGATCTAAGGAGATGGGTGGCTCAGGGGCAGTCTGTCTCCCTCTCTGGCTTATTGGCACCCTCAAGTGATGGATTTATTCATTGAAAATATTGAGAACCCATTGTGTGCCTGACCCAGTTCTTGTCCTGGGGGTGGGGGTGGGCACAAAAGTGAACAGACAGCAGATACTATATCTGACCTGGTGAATTGACCTCCTGGTGAGAGAGACAGAAAGTGACCACTAAGTACGAATTTGTTTTGTTTTATAACATTGGACAAGATGATCAAGGTAGGCTTCACTGAGGAGGTAACATTTGAAAAGACTTGAAAGAGGCGTGGGAATGGGATAGAGAACATTCCAGGTGGAGAGATAGCTGTGTGCCCAAGGTTGTGAGGCACCAGGGAAACGCTGGCTTTTATTTGGAATGTCATGAGGAGCCATCAGAGAGTTCCATGCAGAAGAGAGTCGGACTACGTTTTAAATTAGAGCTGAATTTTGGTCTAGTCTAGTTGAGTTTAAGATGCTCTGAGATCGCAAGCTTTGGTGGCCTAGTGGCAAGAAGCTGCACTGCAATCCCAGAGGCTCACGGTGTGAATCCACCAGATGCTCTGCTGGTAAAGGAGGAACAATCTCCTTCTGTACCAGTCAGATCTCATTTGATGATACACACACACAAATAATATTAGTAATAAAAAAGTTTTAAAATTAAAAAAAAAGGATGCTCTGAGATGTCCATGTCCTGTCAATTAGGACTTGAGCACAGCCTAATCTGTGCCCTGTCCTGAGAGGATGGAGGCCAGGCCAAGGCCCTCATCCCTACTTTCCTCAGCAGGGTCCAGACACCTCTCTGTGTCTTCCACATCTACCCTACCTTTTTACCTTTTTTTTTTCTGCTGCCCGAGCACAACATCAGCACCATGGACAGCCCCAAGCCAGGCCTGCGGGAGTTGCTCGCTGTCCGCTGTGCTGATTTTTTGCCCTTCTCTCCACCCTGTGGCCTGAGTGGAGGCAGCTGTGCATCAGGAGTGACTATGGGCCTCAGGAATATGAGCCCTAAAATGAAGGCCTTGGACGGTCAAGCAGGGGTCTCCCTGATCCTGCCCTCTCATTTGCCACAACCTGCAGTCGACTCCACTGCTCACTGTTTCCCATTTATTTGCTCAGTCTGCTCCAGTCACACTGGCTCCCTCACTGTTCCTTGAACCCATCAGGCGCATTTGTGCCTCACAGCCATTGCACTGATTCCTCCCACAGCCTGGACACTCTATTCCAGGTATCTGCATGGCACCTTCACTCCCCTCCTCCAGGTTATCAGCCCCAGAGACATCTCCTCAGATAGAACTTTTTTGACAACTCACTTTATTTTTTAAATTTTTTTCTTTTTTTCATATACTGTCAAATCAGATCTGACTAGTACAGGAGGAGATTGTCCCTCCTTCTCCAGCAGAGCATCTGGTAGATTCGAACCATGCCCTTCTGGGATTGCAGTGCAGTTTCTTGCCACTAGGCCACCAGAGCTCGCTGACAACTCACTTTAAATGAAATTTCATGTCCCCAACACACAGCCACCCCTTCTTCTTTTCCTTTCCCTAGCTTGCTATTCGCCATCTCACCATATCTAGCACAGCAGAAAACCCCATCTCGTAGCTAAATTCTTGAGTCTCGAGTTTGGGATTGAAATGCTTTTAGTTATTTCAAAAGGTTACAATCTATTACCATAACCTGATTCCAAGTGACCTCGGGTGGCATAGTCTTTGGGGAGTCTCACTGCTCATCCAAAGGCCAGTTCTGGGCTGTTCAGATTCACCAGGGGCCGCATGGAGGAAAGAGGAATACTCTCCTCCCTGCAACTGACAGCCTTGAAAACCCACTGGAGAGTCAGCTCTGAGCTGATTCTGACTTGATGGCAATCAGTGGGTGAGTATAGTGACCCTGTAGGACACGGTGGCACTGCCCCATAGCATTTCAAGGCTGTATCCTTTACGGGGGCGACTGCCACATCTTTCTCCTGTGGGGCATTCCCAAGGATATCGGTTAAGGACTTTAACAGCAGCACCACCAGGACTCATTTGTCAACGTTGTACTAGGTGGGAGGGTTGGGAGGGGAGAAAAGTGGGGGGGAGGGGAAAGGAATTAACCAAAGGCCTCAGATCAGAGTGGCCAAGTCAAAGATTTAAACCCAGGTTGCTGGCCTCCAGGCCAATGATGCCTCCTCCTCTGTCACCTTTAGACACCGTGAAGATATACCCCACCCCACTCCCACGGAGGAGAAAGACAAGGAGCCAAACCTCTGTTATAAATAGGTCTTTATTAAAGATGAGGGACCAGGAGAGGGAGGTCAGTGTCTCCTCTGCCCACTGCCTTTGGCTGCCCAGGGTTGGGGAACCCTCCTTGCTCCACTCATGCCCCCCACAATGGCACATCTGCATGAAGTTGGGGCAAGGGGGGGCGCAATGTACAGAACAGGGGGAGATTTAAAAAAGTCTTTGCCCACAGCCCTAATAAATAACAGTGGGGGTGATCTGGGCCCAGGCAAGGGGAGACACAACCCCCTGAACTCCAAAACCTGGAAAGAAACTCGGGCAAGTCCTGAATAAATATGGACTTAGGAGGGATTGGGTGAGAGGAAGCACAGGGAGGAGGAGCTGAGAGGGGTGAGGGTCTCTGTGGACCCTGCCCTGGGGGAGCCTGCCCCCCTACCCTCTGGCTGGACTCTGATTCAGAGTCGAGGAACCAATGACAAAGGGGTTCCCCATCTCTCTCCTTTGCACTGCTTTAACATGGGCGGTCCCCCATTGGCTGGAATCATACCCACCCATCCGAGAAATTCTGAAAACCAAGAGTTTCCATTGGCTGTTCAGATGGACTGGCGGGAGTTGCCCTCCTGCCTGGGGAGGTTAAGAAGTGAGGGGAAGCGCCCATTGGCTGGCCTACACTCCCTTTGTTCAGAGTTTGGAGAACTGGGGGCTGCCAGGGCCAGGCCCCCTTTAGCCCTTAAAAGGGCAATCCCGAGGACTGGGGCTCACCTCCTAAGCCCACTTAGACTTCCAGGAGGACAGGGACGGTCAGGGGGGTGGTCTCCCACCTGTCCTTCCAGCCATCCCCTGGCGTGTGGGCCTGGCTGCTTGGGGGCAGAGGGCTTTGGCACTCACAGGGCACATACAGGCACACAAAGTCGTGGCGGGGAAGAGATGGGGGCCGGGCAGGTGGTGGGTGGGAAGGTGGGTGGCTGGGCCTCACAGCAGGTGGTCACGGCTGGCAAAAAGGTAAGGGCTGAAGTTGTCCCGGTGAAAGGGGGAGGAGTAGAGTCCGCTCAGGGAGTACAGGTCCCTCAGGAGGGGCGTGGGCAGCAGCAGCTTCCGGCCCCGCCCTCCACCCCCGCCGGGCCCCCCAGGCCCAGGAGAGGAGGGCGAGGGGCCCTGGCTGGGGGTCGGGGCGGGGAGGGGTAGGGGCAGCGGCAGGGGCGTCGGCTCAGACCTCAATCGAGGGCGGGGAATGCGGGGTGACGAGCACATGGCTGGGGCCCTGGAGGACACGCAGCTGGGGATCAAGTGGCCACGGCGGGTGCAGTTCTGCGGCTCTGGGGGTCAGGAGTCAGAGGTCAAGGAGGGGAGCCAGAGGCAGCCCCCTCCAGCTACCCCGCCCCCACGCACCCCACTCCACTCACTGGATGGGGTGAGCCGTGCCGGTGTCGAATGCGGCCTGCAGGCTTCGGGTTCCTGAGACAAGGAGGCAGAGCGGAGAGGCTAGTGGGCCCTTGGGGCCCTGCCCCCGACAGCACCAGGGGATCAAGGGGCAAGAGAATCCCACGGGAAACACAAGCAGCGTTCTCAGAGCCTGGATCCCCGAGTCCCAGGCTCTGGGTCCCCTGAGACCAGGGATCCCTCCCCACAGCTCAGACCTGCTGCCCACCTCTTGCTGGACTTCCTGCATCCATGGTCTCCCTCCACCCGCCACCCTCTCCAGCCGGGAGTCCCCGGCTCCCCTTACCTGGGCTACACTTAACTTTTCGAGGGGGCTGTCCACGGTGGGGGCTTGGCCCAGGTCCTCCCAACGGGAGAGCCTTCGGCCAAAGGGCAGCCGACTCTGGAAGTTGTGCACCACACAAGTGACCTGTGGCAGAGGGAGAGGCCACGGTGGGGCCAGTGCTAGAGAGGAGTCTGTAAATACTACGCCCATTTTGCAGATAAGAAAACTGAGGCTGTTTTAAAAACAAACTAGCCCTTTTCTGGCAATGACCAGGGGCCCAGCACTGTTCTTGCCCCCTTCCTAAGGGATAAGTACTATTCCACAAGGCTAGATGAGTGAGGCCAAGTTGTCCACGTGCAGGATAGTTGTTGTGTGTACCATTTGTAACTTTGGAGCAGCTGATGGATTTGAACAAAGTACCTTTGGATTAGGGAGCTAACCCACCAAGGCTTAGTCGTGAGAAACTGTGTTGCCGGTGCAAAGATACTCGGTTCAAACTTCCCAGCTGCTCGAAGGAGAAAGATTGGCAGTCTCCTCCCTGACAATTTACTGCCACTGAAGGCTCGGTTGGAAGGTCAGCTGTGTGTCGATTCTAACCTTTGGATTGACAGGCCAGTTTCTTACCACTAGGCCACCAGAGCTCACCAAGGACAGGATCAAATCCTGTCTTTATTTAGGAAGTTGATATTTGGTTTATTGTGAGCTCTCACTTAAGTTTTAATCTGTGAAAGTATTTCATTAAATAATTACTTATCTCAATACACAACATTTTTTTTTGCTCCAGGTGGATACCTCACTCACCTCATCCTCGTCCTACCTGGAATGCCTGGAACAGGCAGACGCAGAAAAATTAAAGGACGTGCCCAAGGTCACACAGAGTCCTCACTCTTAACCATCACGTGATCCTGTCTCTTGGGTCAAGGAACTGAAGGGCGTGTTCCCAGGCCAGGGTGAGTGAAGAGGGGTCTCACCAGGAAAGTGGCAATGGCTGCCCCCGTCAGAAAGCCGGCCAGCACGTCGGACCAGTGGTTTCTATATTCAGCCACGCGGATGACGCCCACCAGGAAGGCAGGGCACAGCAAGGCCAGGCAAAGAGAGGGCTTGACCAGGCGGGAGCCCTTCACGCGGAACACGAGGGTCACATACATCTGTGGATGTGGGGCAGGGGTCAAGAGTCTCCTGCTCTTGGAGGCAGCATCCCCAAACCCAAGTGGACACTGCCTTCTTATCTAGAGGGCATGGCAACAGCCCCAGAGGTCTCTATGCAGCTGATGGGCATGGCTGGCGGTGACCAGTTAATGGAATGACTAGAAGCAAAAGTTCAGGGGATTGTCTCCAGGGCGAGAATGATTGCTGAGTTAGGATGTGGCCACAGAGACCAGAGGGATGAGTCTGGGACAGAGTGGACAGGTCCTGCTCGGGGAGGCAAAGTCACTGTGCCATAGTGGACGATAAGAGCACAGAAAAGGAAGTCAGAGCAATGGGGCACCCGTGCAACCAGAAAAAGCAGGAGGGAACATAAAATTCTAGTATTGTCAAGAGTCACCTGCATGGCCACCACAACAAAGGGTGGGACCAGGTCCTCAGTGGAACTGGGAGCAGGTGACATCAAAAGCCCACTCTCCTCTTCTCACAGCCAATCCCTAGGGCCTGTAGCACGGGGAGGGGCGTGACTGCCTTCCAGGGGGTGGAGACTATCTCCCAGGAGGCGTATCCTGGTGCCATGGGCGGAGCCAACACCCTCTGGGGCGTGTGACTAAAACCCAAGGGGAGGAGTCACACGCGGGGGCGTGGCCTAGCAGTCTGCAGGTTCGAAGGCTCCCACCCCAGTGGCCTCCAGCTGGGGCCTGTGCCCGCCCTCCTTTCTGCGCCCCGCGGCCCCCAGCCTCACCGCGGTGTAGGTGACGGCGTAGGCGCACAGGGCCGCGTCCTTGCAGGGGAAGGCCCGGCGCGCGGCGGCCACCAGGCTGGGGCTGCCGGCGCAAGCACCTTGGTCGGTGACGAAGCGGTCGGGCCCGGGCCGGTCAGGAGAGGGAGGTGGGCAGCCCAGGGCCGTGTAGTTGGGGCGGCAGACTGATAGAAAATGCGGCGTGGGGTTGCCAGTCACCACCTGTCCCGCGTTGGCAAAGATGGTCGTGGTGAAGAGACCAAAGGCATAGACTCCTAGTGGGTGGGAGGGGGGGTTCATGCCTGGAACCCTGACCCTTCTCTGCCACTTGCCCCTGTGACTGCTGTTAAAGCCTACTTAGGCCCCCCTAACACTTTTCGGCAATATAGCTGTGCCAGGTCCCCCTTCCCCTTGAGACCACCACTCTGGGTTTCCTGCTCCTGGGACCCTCACTCTGTCAGAAGTGAGCCTGCCTGGAACACCATCAGATCTCCAGGATTGGGCCCCAGCCTCTGCTCCTGGGAGCACCCCAGTAGGGAAACTGAGCTGACTCTCCACCCCCATCTGGCCCATGTTGCTGTTGAGACCCATAGCTGACCCTCCAGGGTGTTTTATGAGGCAGTTAGTTGGAAGGGAGGAGATTGCCCATCCTTCTTCCATGAAGCAGCTGGTAGATTCGAACCACATGCTTTTGGGATTGCAGCACAGCTTCTTATCACTCAACCACCAGAGTTCTCTTTCTAGCCCATGGTCACCCATAATGGCTGGGACCCCATCTCCCTGACCCAAGGCTCACCTATGGTGAAATTAAGTCTATGTCCCCTCTTCTGCCTGACATGCCCTTTGTGGCATTTTTGGGCTCTCCTGGCTGAACTAGGCCCCACCCGTGGGAACCTCCATGACATCTGGCCCGAGCTCAAGTTCCTCTTTAAACCTGATGTCCCATCATGGCAATTCTAGGTTTACTTCCCCTTGGGAAGTAAGCAGCTGTAACCTCCTTACTATAGGACTAGACACCCCCCACACCCATATCACTCACCCAAGAAGCGGACAAGCCTCCGTAGTGGGGGGCTAAAGCGGCAACAGGCCCCAGACACGATGGTGCTCTCCCCAATGACTGGGATGGCGGAGGGGGGTGCAGGGAAAAAGGCACGCGCCAGCTCCCCCAGCAGGATCTGTGGGTGAGCCCAAGGGCTAGCTCTTCCTGGCCCCTGAACCCCCTCAGCTCAGCCCCCCTGCCTTCTGTGAAGGCTTCTCCACAACCCGACCACAGCTGCCCCAAGGTCTCACCGTGAGGCTGGGCCCAGCGGTAACCAAGGCGTAGATGAGGGCAGGGGGTGCACGGCTGGCAGCCTCGGGCCCCGGGTAAGGCTTGGCATAGGTGCTGTCATAGCAGAAGAACCCCTGTGTGTGCACCGGGAAGGTGTCCGTGAACTCCAGCCGGTACGCCAGCAGGACCACAACTCCCAGCAGCACCGACTGCCAGCCAGCGGAACAGGGACGTGGGGAGAGAAGAGAAGGGGTCAGGGCCTGAGCCGAGGCAAAGGAGACAAAGCCTCCGAGATGGAGAGAGAAGGACAGAACCAGGGAGATGGAGACAGATAAGCTCTAAAGACTGTTCTGGAGAAAGAAGCACAGACTGATAGAGGAAGAAGGGAGCTCTGGTGGTCTAGTGGGTAAGAAGGTGTGCTGCAAACCCCAAGGGAGGCGGTTCAAACGCACTAAGTGCTTTGAGGGAGAAAGATGGGCAATCTCCTCTCATGTGATTTACTTTACAATCTATTAAAACTTGCTGGATCCCCAGATGCTCTGCTGGAGAAGGAGGGACAATCTCCTCCTGCACCAAAACAAAACAACAAAAACAACCAAAACAAAATCCAAAAAAAAAACAAACCTTGCTGGAGGGTCAGCTATGAGTAGGTACCAACTCAAAGGCACATAACAACAACAACAGAGGAAGAGGGGCGCTTTGGTGGTCTAGCGGGTCAGGAGTTGTGCTGACAACTCAAAAGCAGACAGTTCGAATTCACCAGCTGCTCCACAAGAGAAAGATATACAATCTCCTCCTATGCGATTTACAGCCTCTTAAAAATCCACTTGAGAGTTAGCAATAAGTTGGTTCTATCTTGATGGCAATGAGCTTTTCAGAGCAGGGGCAGAAAGAACATATAGATGGGCTCTGCTCTAGAGCTTGTAATAAAATCCCTCATGTTCTTGCATAAAAAAAAAAGAAGCTATAGATGAGGAGAGAGAAAGTTCAAGGCTTTAGGAGAGACAGAGATAGGAGGTGGGATTGGGGAGAGAGTGTGGTCTGGGGAGAGAAAGAGAGAGGGATAGATATGAGGGGTGGAGTGACTGAGGGACAGACTGACAGGGGGAGAAAAATAGTAGCAGTAGTACTACCAACACCACAGATATAACCCTACTGTAACTGGGTATCATACTAAGCCTTTTTTTTTACTATTATAACAGACCAGAGAGAGAGGGATTCTAATTATACCCATTTCATTGAAGAAATGGAAGAGATGAGGAAACTGAAGCTCTAGAAGGTGAGAGAAGTACAGGGATCCACAGTAAGGACAGGGCAGAGAGGGATCGGAACCCAGGGAGTGATTTTCATCACAGGGAGTCCAAGCTCATCAATTCTCAAGACAAAGGGCAGCAAGGGAGCCAAGGAGCGGGCGATCAGGGAGATGGGACAGTGGGCCCGGCAGGGTTCTGGCAAGGATGAGGCACACTGAGGGTGGGGAGAGATATGGAGCAAAAGAAGACGGCTGGGGCGTCCTGGGGTTCTTACCTCCACGAAAACGAAGCAGGGAATGATGGAGAAACTCCTCTTCAGCTGAGGTCTCCCTCCAGCCATGGTGAAGGCGGCCTGTCCGGGTGGGAAGGGATGGGGGTGCCCAGCGGCCGCGGGGGAGGGTCAGCGAGGTCCTGGCCCCGCCCTGAAGACCGAGCCCCGCCCTTATTGGCCCTTTACTCTGCCCGACCCCCGCCTCCCCGCTAGCCTGGCCACCACCAAACGTCCATAGTGGTCCCTTCTCCCTACAGCCGACAGAGAAGATTCCATCCCGTGCCTCTTAGAAGGGACACTGCCCCCCAAATCAGGATCCTTTTGGTCTTTGGGAGGGACACATCCAGCTTCACGGGGATCCCTGTCCCAGAGCATTTAGAAAGGTCCCCACCCGCACCAGCTTTCAGGGGCCCCCTCGCTCTCTCCCCACGTGCTTAACAAGGAATCCCATGTTCCACGCCCCTCCCCCACGACACCCACAGGGGCCACTCTCCTCCCCCATGTGGAAGTCGTGCGGGCTGATGGCCAGGCCCTCCTCTTCTCCCAGATGCCTCTCCCTCCTACCCCTCCTCGCAGCCCCGTCTGCCTCCCCGTGTCTTGCGGGGGCTGGCCTTGTTCTGCACTCCCCCCAGCCCCTGCCTAACCTCAGTCCCCACCGCTCCAGTCACACCCATTCTTTCTGCCTGACCTCACCTGGGAAAGCAACCTACGGCTCCCCACAGGCCGCCGCCACGCCCACAGACTCACAGCCGCCCCTAGCGGCCAGCAGGGCAGGGATGGTCACCCCCATTGCGCGGCTGTGGAAACTGAGGCTCAGGCAGGCGAACGTTGGCACTCCGAGTCCAGCGTCCCATCTATGCAGAGTGACAGGTGGAGTGAGGGTCACCAGAGGCCCCAGATGCCCACGTGATCACAGTCTCCTCACCCTCCTGAAGACACAACCATTCACTGTGGCACCTCCATAGCACCCATCACAAAAATCACACACACATACCCCCGTGGCTCAAAGTTCGTCCACCCCATGATACAGACACAGCCCGCTGGGCTCCTGGGGCTGTGATGGGTACCGGCTGTGAACAAGACAGGCCTGCTCATTCAGACAGATGCCCAGAACACACACACACACACACACACACACACACACACACAGCATGCACACAGCCTGTCACAGGCACCCACGTACACAGTCACTGGGACACACCAGGAAACCCCACATACAGTCCCACACAGCCCTTACCGCACCAGGGCCAGGCACTGCCAACACCCTTCAGAGTCACAGGCAAGACAGTCACTTCCCTACACACAACGGGGGTCACAGAACCAGTCACGGTGTCACACCCCCAATCGCAAGCACTCAATGACACCTGCACACATTCGCTGTCTCTTCTGCCCACTGACCGTCACAGGAGCGACATGGTGACAAGCCACATGGCCACGCAAGGGCACATACATGGATCAATGACACAGATTCAGACACAGAGCCACGAGGCCACGCAAGGAAAGTGCGCTCTCACAGACACACGCTGGGACACAAGGACAGCCACACCAACACTCAGCCATACCGACACCAAAGAGCCTACAGTCACAGGCTAGCAACCGCCCGGCCACTACATGGCAGCCTCCACGAACAGCCACACATACACCACGACCAAGCAGACACACAGCCACACACACACAGCCACCCCCAAAGCCACACGACAGTTCTACATTAGACAGCCACACGCTGCTGTGAAATGACAATCACAGCCATTCACATCCCCTCCCCCAGCCGCCGGGGGTCCCCTCCCCCAGTCCAGTCCCAAAGCCCCGGCTCACTGCCCCCCCTTACCCTCCCCACGCTGGATCCGGGGGGATCGGACCCACAGGCACCGAGGCTCCAGCCGGACAGACAGCTCGAGGGTCGGAAGCCCGCGGGAGGGGGTGCAGGGGGCTCCCCCTGACCCCTCCCCCTCCCCAGGTCGAGGCCGCGGCTGTCCGAGCCCCCCGCTGCAACCAGATGGCCCCGGCGGCGAGGCGGGCCAGAGCGAGCGGCGGCTGGCCGGGCGGGAGGCCAGCTGGGAGGCCGCAGAGCTGGGGACGCCGCGGGCCGGAGACGCCGCGGGCCGGGCCGGCTGAGCCGCGCCGCGCAGACTCCAAGCCCGATCTTCGGCGGCAGGGGCGGGGTCTCCGGGCGCCTCATTTGCATGACGGGGGCTCGCAACGTCTCATTAGCATGATTTGGGGCGGGGCCTCTGATGCTCTTGGAAGAGGGTCAAGTGTAGAATCCAGCTTTGTTCACAATAGCAAGGAGTTGGAAACAACCTAAGTGCTCATCAACAAACGAATGGCTAGAGAAGCTGTGGTATATTCGCACAATGGAATACTATGCTGCATTGAAAAATAAGGAACTCATGCAATATTATTCAAAATGGTTGACTCTGGAGAACATTATGCTGAGTGAAATATCCCAGTCACAAAAGGACAAATATTACATGATGCCACTGTTGTAGAATGGGACTGTCCTTGGGGTTGGGGAGAGACTGAGTAAGATGGGTTCAATAATGTATACTGCACTGAAACAGAGGAGGGAGAGAACCGTTTAAAAGAGAGATGTAACTGGGTATTTCTGTCATCACAGGAGACTAGAGCGAGGGCTGCATGGTGGAGGGGACCTGGGGGAGGGTTTGTAAAACAATGAAAGAATCCTTTCTTTTACTTTTCCATAATTTTTGACTCATGTACTTATAACTTGTTAGTCAAATTTGTGTCTTCTAGGTTGCAACACCCCTATGATACATCTTCAAGGATATGAACATGTACGGCCAAGCACAATCAATAAGAGTGCATCTAAATTCCAAAATCAATCTCCATAATAGTCTATGTGTTTCCTACTGCCAAAGGGGCCCTTTAGAGTAGTGAGAGAAGATCTTCACCCTGAAACCCACAGCGTCCCTTTTCAGCAGGAAGTAGCTAAGAGAATACGCCATCCCCTTTTCCTTATGAATCAGGGTGAAGTCTCTCTCAGGGAGGAGTGATAGGGAATGGCAAAGGACACACTGACAAAGGAGATTAATCAGAACTGACTTTGACAAGCACTGTGGCAATTGGACAATTAAAACAGACATTCGGATGGCGGGGAAGAAGAACAAACTGGGGAGGAGGGTAGAGAGAATGGTGCAGCAATGAAGGAATGAAAACCCAAAATCCCTGTAAATGTTCATTAAAACTAATAAAATTTAATAATAAAAAAAAAGTGTGGAATCCAGGTGGGGGGGCGTGAGAAATGGTTTCAGAGGCTGACACTGGGTTGTGCCCCACCACGCTGGGCCTCAGTTTCCCCATGTGGACAATGGGAGAGAAACTTTAGGTGCCCGTCTGGAAGCGCCTGCCTGGTGGGCAGTGGGGCAGGGCCGTCTGGGCACACGCACCACCGGCCTTGGTCATCTACTATCCCTGTCCTGATCCTAGGCCCACACATCCGACCCTCGACCCTCGGGCCTCTGCACCCTCCCCAGCAGCGTGGAGTGGTTGGGGACTCAGAGGCCTGGCCCAGGCACTGGAAGCAGCAGGAAAGAGTCCAGCGGTGGGTGAAGGGCTCAGCTAGTTTATTTTTCTCTCTGGAAAGGTCTCCTGGGCGAGCAACCCTGGCTGCTCAGGCTGCGGAGAGAGGAGGGGGCGTCAGGGTCCACCCTGCTCTGAATGCCCTAGAGCCTTCCGTCGGGGACCAGGGACACAAGGTGGGCGCTGACAGTCCCAAGGGTGCAGTCTGCTGTATTCCAGGGCCGGCTGGAAGGGGGTGAATGGGCTGAGAGGATCTGTACCTGATAAGAAGGAGTGGGTCTTGCGCAAAGGTGGCTGGGGAATACCGTGGTCCGACTCGGAATCTGAGTCCCACGACCGGGATGGAGGGTTCGAGCACTGGTGCCTCTTGTAGCCTGCGGGAGGGATGGGTGCGATTCTGGTCTCTCTTCTGGGAACACTAAGTATGACACTTAGGACCCTCTGAAAATTAGCCCAGTGTCCTCTGATATCCGTGACATGAACTCACATATGTGTCCTGACAGTAAATTATGAGCTTAAGGCTCAATAACCAACTGAGCCTAAAAATGACCCCAGTGATGTGAAATTTGACTCGTGGACGTTATTGAACATGTTGTGGTGTGCAGTCGAGTCAGAACCAACTCATAGCTGTCCCACCAGCAGGTTTTCAGAGGCAGTAAATTGCATAGGAGGAGATTGCCCATTTTTCTTCAGTGGAGCAGCTGGTAGATTTGAACTGCTTGTCTTTGGGATTGCAGCCCAGTTTCTTACCACTAGGCCACCAGAGCTCCCTCATAGAGGAATGCATATAAGTCACTGCTTTAGAGCCATTTCCACCTCACTGTGACCTCCAGGACAGTAGAACTGCTCCCCACAGTTTCCATGTCTGTAAGTCTGGGAGAGGGCAGACTGCCACACTTTTCCTCCATGGAGCAGCTGGTGGGTTCAAACCACTGACCTTGAAGTTAGCAGACCAACGTTTAGCCTACAATGCCCCCAGGGCTCCTGACCCCACAGAATAAGTTCCTATAAATATGATCCCCAAATATGACCTCTGACCCTCACTCCCATGTGTGGAGATGCAGAGTGGTGCCCTCACCCTTGAAGTCCTTGGCGTGACCCTTGGAGGGCATGGTGAGGCCATCGATGGAGTTGTGCAGCAGGTGCACGGCAGACCTGTGGGGAGAAGAGGATGTGGGGGGCCCCCCCGGGACTCCACACTACTCAGGGCTGGGGTGAGAAGGGCACAGTGGGGCAAGGACCAAGGTGAGTGCTGAGAGAGGAAGGCTTGACTGTTGGGAGGTGGGTCGGATGAGGGGCAGAGGTCAAGCTGGGGGCTGGCATCACCATATGTCACTCAGCTCCCTATGGAGGGTGTTCTTCCAGGTGCTGCCACTTCCGGACTTCTCCTCAGGCTCCATCCAGGTGTCATAGTTCTGTTGTTTCATCTTGGTCAGGACCTGAGGCCAGAGGGGGAGAAGAACCGTAATGGCAACGGTGCAGGGTTCACCTGAGACCTGAGTCCACTTTAACCAGAGGTCAGATGACAACTGCCCCAGGGGGTTTCCAAGGCTGTGAACTTGACAGATGCATATCCTTTAGGCCTCTTCTCCTGAAGAGGAGCTGGTGAGTTCTCATGGTCAGCCTTTCAGCCGGCACTCGAGAGCTTAACCCATGTGCTACCAGAGCTCCTTGGTGAACACCAGCCATTTTTTCCAAGTGCTTAACATAATTGGGAAAATCTGTGGTCAGGGACCTCTCAAGAGTACGGAGAAGCAACTATGTCAGTCTAGAGACTAAGGTGCGCCTGGTCTAGGCCATGATCTTCACAATTACTTGCTATGCATCAGAGAGCCAGACAATGACTAAGGATGACAGAAGAAGAATCAATGCCTTCAAGTAACAGTGCTGGAGAAGAGTACTGAACATACCATGGACCGCCAAGAAAACAAATAAGTCTGTCTTGGAGAGGGTGAAACCAAGTTTCTCTTTGGAGGCTAGGATTTTGAAGCTCCGTCTCACATACTTTAGGAACGTGGCAGGGAGGACTGGTCCTTGGAGAAGGGTATCATGCTCAGAAGGGTAAAGGGACAGCACAGGAGAGGAAAACCCTGGATGAAGTATACTGACACAGTAACTGGGATAATAGGGTTAAGTGTGTTGAAGTCAGTGAGACTGGCTCAGGACAGCAAAGGGTTCAGAGCTGTTGTACATAGTGTCACTATGACTCACGGATGACTTGAAGGCACATAACAACAACATAATTGTTCTTGTTGTTAGGTGCTGTTGAAATGCGTGCAATTCATTGTGACCCTGTGAACAAAAGACCTGAACCTTGTCCTATTCTATGCTGTTATCATCTCTGACACTCTTGAGCCCATTGTTGCAGGTACTGTCAGTCTGTCTTCTGGGGGGGTGTGTCTTCCTCTCTTTCGCTAACTCTCCTCCACCTTTCCAAGCTTGATATCCTTTTCCAAAGAACAGTATATTTTAGTACCATCCCCAAAGTATGAGAGATGAAGCTTTGCCATCTTTGCCTGCACAGTGCACTCTGCCTGCTGCTGTTGTTGTTGTTATGTGCCGTCGAGTCGCTTGCGACTCATAGAGACCCTATGTAGAACAGCCCTAAACTCCGCTCTGTCCTGTGCCAATCGCACTGTCTCCGACACTCCCATCTCAATTATCCCAGTCACTGAATCAATCCACCTCATAGAGGGCCTTCCTCTCCTGCGCTGTCCCTCTACCCTCCCAAGCATGATGTCCCTCTCTAAGGACCGGTCTTTCCTCACAACATGTCCAAAGTATGTTAGACGGAGCCTCAGAATCCTTGCCTCCAAGGAGCCACCCGGTTTAACCCTTTCCAGGACAAATCTGTTTGTTTTCCTAGCAGTCCATGGTATTCTCAATACTCTTCTGCAGCACCACAGCTCAAAGGCATCAATTCTCCTTCTATCCTCCTTGCACTTTCCCCAAATCTATCTGTTTTTTCTTTTGGCAGTCCATGGGATATTTAGTACTCTTATTCTCCCACAGAGCAGCTGGTAGGTTTGATCCACATACCTTTCAGCTGGCAGCACAATTCATTATCACTAGGCCAACAGAGCTCAATACTCTTCTTCAAAGCCACAGCTCAAAGGCATCAATTCTTCTGTCATCCTTATGCACTGCCCAGCTCTCGAATGCATGGCAAGTGATTGAAAAGACCATAGCCTGAATCAGGACCACTTTAGTCTTCAAACTTATATCATTGCCCCTCAGTATTTTGGAAAGGTCCTTGACAACGGACTTGCCCAATGCAATATGTCTCCTGATCTCGTGACTGTTTATACCAAGGGTGCTGGCTCTTGATCCAAGTAAGATGAGATCATTGACAACTTTAATCCTTTCTCCATCTATCATGATGTTGCCTCTTGTACTGGCCCCTTGGTGAGGACCTTCATTTTCTTGATGTTTGAGATGTAATCCATACAGATACTGTAGTCTTTGATTTTCTGCAGCAAATGTCTCAGGTTCTCCCTTTCAGCAAGCAGTCATGTCATCTGCACAATGCAGGTTGTTTATGAGTCTTCCACTGATCCTGATGCCATCTTCCTCTTCATAAAGTCCAGCTTCATGACTTAGTCACTCAGCATACAGTTTAAATAGACATAGAGAAAGGATCTATCCCTGATGCACACCCTTCCTGATTTTAAACCCATTAGTTAGTTGGCCTTTAAGTTCATCTGACTAGTGGTGATCACATGTGTTAGAGCTAAATTATACTCCTTAGGGTGTTTTGATCCATTTTCAGCTGCAGATTTATCTAGGCACTGTTGTTGATGGGCACTTAGGTTGTTTCCAACTCCTTGCTATTGTGAACAAAGCCGCGATAAACATGGGTGTGCATATATCTCATGTCAGTTATGGTCTCTTTGGGGTATATTCCCAGTCATGGAATTGCTAGGTCAAATGGTATCTCTATTTGCAAACTTTTTGAAAAAGCACCATACCGCCTTCCACAGTGGTTTCCAGAGTTACTAGCACTTCTATAATGAAGAAACCACAAGTATTGTTGTTGTTATGTGCCATCAAGTCAGCTATGACTCAAAACAACCCTAAGAACAATGGCTCTGAACCTTGCCCTGTCCAAAGCCAACCCCGTCATCTCTGATACACCTCATACCATGTCCATAGTCACTGGGTCAATCCATCTCATCCAGGATCTTCATCTCTTGTGCTGACTTTCTACTCTTCCACATATGATGTCCCTCTTTATGGACTGGTCCCTCTTGACACCACGTCCAAAGTATGTGAGATGGAGTCTCAAAATCCTTGCCTCCAAGAAGCGACCTGGTTTCACTTTCTCCAGGACAGACTTATTTGTTCTTTTGGCGATCCATGTTTAATACTCTTCTCCAGCACCACAATTCAAAGGCACTTTATTCCTCAGTTACCCTTAATCACTGTTCAACTCACTGAGAAGACCATGGCTTGGATCAGATACAACTTAGTCTGTAGACTGACATCAGTGCTCTTTAGCACTCTGCAGAGATCCTTCACTGTAGATTTTTTCCAGTACAACTCATTCTTTGATTTCCTGACTGCTGGTGCCAAGGATGTTGTTGATTGTGGATCTGAGCAAGATCAAACCATTAACAACTTCAATCTTTTTTCCATCTATGATGCTGCTTAAGTGGGCCAGTGCTGAGGATTTTTGTTTTATGTTGAAATGCAATCCATATTGAAGACTTCAGTCTTTGATATTCTGCAGCAAAAGTTTCAAGTCCTTTTCAGTTTCAGCGAGTAAGGTTGTGCCATCTGCATAATGCAAGCTGTTGATAAGTTTTTCCTCCAATTTCGATGGCACATTCTTCTTTATAAAGTCCAGCTTCTGGAATGATCTATTCAGCATATAAATTGAAAAAGTGTGGAGAAAGGATACATCCTTAATACGCTTCTTTCTTAATTTTGAACTATGTAGTGATTCTCTGCTCTATTCGGACAACAGCTTCTTAGTCTAGGTACAGATTTTATATGAGTACAATCAAGTGTTGACACAGAACCGTTTCAAGAAGTCACTTAAGAACCAACAGTAATAAAAGAGAAAGGTCAAGCCATTCTGAAGGAATTGGCAAAAATAAGGCCCCAGGAATTGATAGAATAGCACTTGGCATATTTCAAGAAACAACAGGTTGTATTGAGAAATCTGGCCAACCGACTTGAAGAGACCCATATTTATTTGTTCCTATTCCCAAAAAAGGTGATCCAACAGAATGTAGAAATTGCCAAACAATGCCATTACTATCACATATAAGCAAAATCTTGCTTAAGGTTATCCAAAAATTACTAGAACAGTACACAGACAGAGAATGCCAGAAATACAAACTGGGTTTAGAAGAGGCCATAGCACTAGGGACATGATTGTTGATGTCAGATGCTTCCTAGCTGAAAGCAGAGAGTACCAGAAGGATGTCTATTTCTATTTTACCGACTATGCAGAGGTATTTGACTGTGTGGATCATAACATATTGTGTCCATTATTGAGAAGAATGAGAGTCCCAGAACACTGTGATACCACAAGTAGATGGCTTTAATAAACAGAAATTTATTATCTTATAGTTTAAACAAAAAAAAACCTCCCTGCATTTAGTTGTTTCAAACTCAGAGCTACCCTCCACTGGATTTCCAAGGCTTTAAATAATTTCTTTTTTTAACATAGAAAATGCTTTCATTTTTTCATTTTTGCACATTTTCTCCCCCTCCCCTTCCCCAGCATGCATCTCTTGTTCCAGATTGCTGTCATACATATAAACGCCTAATCATATATTGCTTCCAGATAGTTCTTCCCCTCATGTAATGCAGTGTTCACTGCATCTAATGCAGTGTTCATTATCTATCCACTCTTTTCCATTCTCTTCCCAATCTCCCATTTCTGTCCTATTTTATAACAGTGGTGTTATGCAGTATTTGTCCTTTTGGGACTGAGCTATTTCACTCAGCATAATGTCCTCCAGGCTCCCTCATGTTGTGTAATGTTTTATGAGTTTGTTGTTTTTCAGTGCTGCATGATACTCCATTGTGAGAATTTACCATAGCTTTTCTATCCATTCATTTGCTGAGGACACTTGGATTGCTTCCATCTCTTGGCTGTTGTGAATAGCACAGCAATAAACATGAATGTGCATACATCTCTTTGAGTCGTGGCTCTGATTTCTTTAGGCTGTATTCCCAATAGTGGAATTGCTGGGTCAAATGGTATTTCTATTTCCAACTTTTTGAGAAAGCACCAGACCGCCTTCCATAGTGGTTGCACCCTTTTGCAGTCCCAACAAGCAGTGAATAAGGGTTCCAATCTCTCCACCAGCATTTGTTGTTTGCAAGGCTTTAAATATTTTTTTAAATTCACATAATGTTTAATCAGTCACATTAATGAAAATATAAAAACATTTGAGTTAGTGTATGGCAGCAGAAACTTAATTGT